TTAATATTATCAACGCAACTTTTATTTCACATTGATAACATTTAATATTTGAAAATGTATACTAAATATTTACATTCATTTGGTTGGTTTGATTTGCATTATACTCAATTTTAACCTAGTAAACTAAATAGATAAAGTTTCTAAGTTGATCTTATTGTTAAAAAACCCTAATTGGCTAAAATTAAGAAAAAGTTTACATATTATTAATAGAAGTCATGGAAAACCTTTCACTAATTCAATAAAGGAAATACAAGAAGTCATTTTGTTATATTGGAAAATGTGAACGATAAAGCGAGACAGTTTTAATTGTTTTTAAGCTGCAATTACAAATGACACTAAGAGATATACAGACTATGTAAAAGTATTATGGACAGAATGTAAAAATATTGCGACCAAAAAGAAGGCTTAGAGCTAAATATTTAATTTCATTTGGTTTGATTTGCATTATACTCAATTTTAACTTTGTGAACTTAATAGATAAAATTTCCAAGTTAAATTATTTTTTAAAAAACCCTTATTGGCTAAATTTAAGAAATAGTTTGCATATTATTAAGGGAAAACATGGAGAAATCACCATGGACCAATTGTTTGATGGATTTGGAACAAAAGACTTTGTTACATCTGAGAATAAAAACGATAAAGCAAGACATTTTAGCTTCGATGCGAAGCTGACAAGGTATTAATTTTACTATAATGTGTTTTTTTTTTATGTCTGTTGTCACTTTTTCTCAGCTCTCACTGGACCGATTTCTTTCAACAATACGTCAAAAGATCACAAATCGTTTCTAGTTAAAGACATTACCCTTAAAAATTGAAAATTTTTCCCTCATTCCCCGCAAATGGGGGAAATATCCAAAAAAATTACAAATTTAAAAATCAGTAAATTTTGTCATTTTTTTCTTAAAACTTCCATAACTTTTTCAAAAATAAATAAATCAACATAATTTTTTTTTATACTAAAACTTTAGATATTTTCCTTTCATTTGATTTCATTTTTTTGAAAATCTAACTCTTAACCTTCTCATTGGGGGGGATTTAAAATAGCAACTTTTTTACAAAAACTAACTTTTTCAACTTAATTTTTGAAAATGTTCCGGAAATACTTAGTCCTTTAAACATATAACAAATTAAAGCTTGTTTTATGTACTATAAAATCAAAAAAAAAAATTTGTCCCGATACTTTATCTTCTGCATGTAAACGGCTGCCGTAGTTAAAAAATGCTAATTTTGTGTTAAAATTTTCGATTTTAAATTTTCAACTTAAACTTTTCGAAAAATTTAATTATCAGCACATATTTTTTTTTTCTAAATACATTATAAGTACATCTTTTATTTCACATACTTTTTATTAATTGGACAATTTCCCCATATATAGGGGATGTTCAAAACTTGAAACATTGTATAAAAAATAGAACTTTTTCAACTTAACTTTTGAAAGTGTTCCGGAAATACTGTGTCCTATAAATATATATAAAATCAAAGGTTATGTAATATACTATAAAATGAAAAAAAAAATTTGTCCTGACGACCTATCTTCTATGCGCAAATGGCTACCGTATTCAAAAATATGTTATTTTTGTGTTAAAATCCTGGGTTTTGTATCTTAATTTTTTTTAAATATCTTATAAGGGCAATACACTGCCCTATTTTTTGATAATTATTATTTTTATAATAGGCCAAATTGAATAACTTTTTTTATAGGTTTTTTAGATATATAATCATTAAAATTAATTAAATTCTGAATATTTCCATTGTAGAATCTTTTAAACGCCAAAAGTTAATTAGAAATGATTACTATGATTTTTATTTAAGTGATCTATTACGATAAAAATGTAAAAAAATCTAACTTTTCTGATAAATATACTGTAAATAGTAATTATAAAATTTGCTGACAGCATATTAATCTTAACAATTTCATTTTTATCTATTTAATAATGTCAATTTCAAACTTGCAAATTGAGCTACTTGTTATGGTAATAAATTCATTTTTACTTTAAATAAAACTTTTACTTTAAAGGACAATAAAAAGTAGGTTTAAAATTATTACTTTTAACATATTAAAAATCAAAATCAATAATAATTTGAAAACAATTAATTTTAAAAATTATATAATATACAATTAAAAGAATTACTAATCTGGGTATAANATACAGGGTGATTTTTTTATCATAACCCACTCAATTACTTACAGAATAATAATAATTTAAAAATTTTTTTTTTATTTCTATCTTTAGTTACTTATTATTCTTGATTTATTAACTATGTAATACTTTTTAAGATCATCCCTTATGCCTGGTAACGGTGTCAACTTTGTTTTTTTAAATGGTAACACATACGAGGTGTGACAATAAAATAACGAGACTTTTTTGATAAAAGTTATTTATTTTAAAAATTTTACAATTTAATGATTGTCACCTTCAAAGTACCTTCCCTCAGCATCAACACACTGTTGCATACGTCGCTGCCATTCTTGAAAACAATGTTGCCAGTCGCTTTCACTTGGCCTATTTAGAAGTTCTGCCGTTTTTATTTTTACGTCATCAACCGTTTGAAAATGGGTTCCTTTTAATAAACTTTTAATTTTTGGGTATAAGAAGAAGTCACAAGGAGCAAGGTCTGGCGAGTACGGGGGATATTGAAGTATAGAAATATTTTTTTCAGTTAAAAAACTTTGAATTGAAAATGTCTTGGTGAAGAACCCAGCCATTCTTCCACAGATCTGGTCGCTTTTTTTTAACACAATCTCTTAATTTAATTAATACATCTTTATAATAATATTGGTTGATAGTTTGCTTATTAGGAACTCATTCAACAAAAATTATTCCCTTAATGTCAAAGAAAACAATGAGCATTGCTTTGAATTTCGAGTTGCTCATTCGTGCTTTCTTCATTCTTGGGTAACTTGGTGTCTTCCAATGCATGGATTGCCTTTTAGTTTCAGGGTCATATGTAAAAATCCACGTTTCATCACACGTAATGATATTATTTATAAAAGATAGATCATCTTTGATGATTTTTAAGGTGTCAGAACAAATTTCTTTGCGATTGAATTTTTGATCAATCGTCAAATTTTTAAGGATCATTTTAACACACACTTTTTTCATATTTAAATTTTCAACTAAAATTTTACGAACACTTTCTCTATCTATATTTACCATCTCTGCTACAGCTCTAACACTAAATCGACGCTCTTGCCGGATAATTTTGTCGATTTTTTCAACGTTTTCGTTTGTTGAACATGTGATAGGACGTCCAGAACGATCATCGTCTTCCACGTACTCTCTTTCATTGCAATACCGTTTGTGCCATTCAAAAACGCGAGCTCTTGATAAACATTCTTCACCATAAACTTCACATAACATACGAAATAATTCCGCGGCAGTTTTTTTTAATTTAACAAGAAATTTAATGTTAACACGTTGTTCGATTTTTATATCTAACATTTTTCGGCAGTATAGTCGAATTCGCACTAATAACAAGGTTACTAACGTATAAGAAAATTAATCGATTTCATCAGTGTTTATTGTACTTTTATATAAGTGTTTCCTAATCATATTTCAATAATCGTTTTATAGATAACGTTAATAGTTTAGGTTATATTTAAAAAGTCTCGTTATTTTATTGTCACACCTCGTATTTTGAATTTAATAAAATGTTTGAGTTTTCAATTCAATAACAAATGTCATTTGAATTTTTAATATAACTTTATTCGTTTATTAGATATAATCATTTAAAGTTTCAAATTTTTGAATTAATATACAGGTATAATACACTAGGGATTAAAATTATAGGTAGCTAATTGGTTTTTTATGACATCGATATTAGCAGGTACAAAGCATTGTTATTATCAATGGTAGTAAGACACATTGTTGTGAGTATATAAATACACTAACTGACAATACAGAATGTATATCTATTGATAGTCATAATTGATAATAAACAATCCGTAACTGTGATAGCAATATCATAAAAAATCAATTAGCTACCTGTATTTGTAATCCCTTGTGTATTATACCTATATATTAACTCAAAAAATTGAAACTTTAAATGTTTATATCTAATAAACGAATAAAGTTATATTAAAAATTCAAATGACATTTGATATTAAATTAAAAACTCAAACATTTTATTAAATTCAAAATATGTGTTTCCATTTAGAAAAACAAAGTTGACACCCTTACAAGGCATAAGGGATGAACTTAAAAAGTATTACATAGTTAATAATTCAAGAATAATGTGTAACTAAAGATAATAATAAAAAAAAAATTTTAAATTATTATTATTCTGTAAGTAATTGAGTGGGTTATGATAAAAAAATCACCCTGTATAATTAAAAGAATTACTAATCTGGGTATAATCAAAGAAATAGAAGTTGATGTTGCTTTTGTAATTATATATTAATTTTTTAAAATTAAACATTACAGATTTGCATCGAAGCGTTTCTTATGATAGTGATTTTAATCACTGTCAGATTAAATCTATACTGGACCCAACTATGCAACGTCTCCACTATGCCGCGACCCCACTGTGCTGGGTTTTTTAATATAATACTATAATTTTTGTAAGTTTGTGAGAGGATTAAACATAATTTGTATCTGTGCAATATGCAAAAAATAAAGTGTGCTTAAATCTTAAATTTTTTTTTTATTTGTTGCTGAGATGCAATTTTTCGAAGAAATTAAAAGATTATACAGAGTTTGTAAGACTATTATGGGGAGAATGTAAAAAAAAATATAAAGCAGAAATAAAAATATGTAAAAAACAACTAATAATGGAATTTGATTCTTTCACAAATTTTATTGAAGATTGGCCGACTACATTTTTTTTTTTTTCAAATTACACTTAAATGGAACTTAAATATAACATTGATTCATTCGATCTCATAGTTTATTATTTAGCTTCATCATACAACAAGAATGAAAATTTTATAGACTGAAAACTCGATGAATTAATTTGTTTATTATCTTAATATAATTATTATTTTTATTTTCATAACCCATTGGTAGATATAAGTTTTTTGGAAAAGTACAAAATCTTGCTATTAATATACTTAATGGATTAACATTAAAACCTACAAAATATTTATAACTGTAATAAACCAAAAATAAAAATTAAGAAGAGCAAGTTAGCAGATAGTAATGGAATATTAGGATGTTAAATACTTTTTTAAATTTATATAATTAATATTAATGGTTTTTTACGCAATAGACGGTTGGAGGTTCAAAAGCATAGGTTTAATTGTACTTACCATATGTCCTATGTCACCCAGTAATATTTTAAACAACCCAACGTTGACTTTGGTATTAAATGCATACAGGGTGGGCCACCACTCACTGACAACTTAAATAACTTTTGATCCAGTTAATATTTTTAGTTAACTTTTTTTTTAAATAATAGTTATACGTTAGGTCTATAGCTATATCTCAATAATTAATTTTTTTACATTTTATTAAAAATATTAATTATTTTTAAATTTTAAATAAAATGTAAAAAAAAAATCTAAGATAGCTATTTTGTAGAGTAGAATTTAAGAAAAATTTTAGTAAAAAAATATCTTATTAATATTCAGTAGTAAATATTCTGTAGCGTTTTGAAGTTTGTGAAAATTTGAATTTTCATGTATTATTTTACGGTATTAAACATTGAAATACGTATTGAGAAAAGGACAGAAGAAAACGCTATCTTTTCATGATTACTTTGTATACATATGATGATAATGTGTATACATTACAAACTTGGCATTAATACTATGATAAGAAATTAGATAAGGCAATTATTACTTATCTCTCTCATTCAAAAGTATAAGTCATTTTCATGGAAAAAGTTACACACCTCCAAATTATAGTAATCATGAAAAGATAGCATTTTCTTCTGTCCTTTTCTCAATACGTATTTCAATGTTTAATACGGTAAAATATTACATGAAAATTCAAATTTTCACAAACTTCAAAACGCTACAGAATATTTACTACTCAATATTAATAAGATATTTTTTTACTAAAATTTTTTTCAGTTTTTGAGATTAATTTCTTTTACTAGATATAATTAGTAATCTTTTGGCATTTCTTTAAAGAATATCAATTGGGTGAGAGTAGAAAAATGCAAAAATTAAAAGGGTATTTGAACTTTAATGACGGAAATGTACGCGTTACTAATTTGGTAATTATACAAAGCATTTTCACAATAAAAAAATTGGAAATTTAAGCTAGATAAAATAAAATAAAAAATGTTCTAATTAAGAAAATGAAAACTTTTGATATAGTACTTTTAAAAGATAAGAATAACGTAGCAAACTTTTTCTTTACTCTATATTTAAAATATTTATAACATTTGAAATAAGAGATTAAATGCTACTATCTACCAGACGTTTCTTAAATAGATCATTTATTATTTTATAAGCTAATTAAACATTTGTATAAATAAAAATTGTATGTGTTATAAATACGGCTGCTATTTGCACATAGAATGTAAGACGTTGGGACAACATAAATTTTATTTTAACATATGCTTGAAGCTCGCAATATTTACATAACATTTTCAATGTGTAATTTAAAAAAGTTCTACTTTTTATATGTACGAAGAAACATTAAACTCCTTGTATGAAGAAGAATGGCCCAAAATGAGCAGAATTAACGACAGAGTTACTTTATTAAGAAACATATAGTATTACAATAATACCTTTTAATACCTTTTCAGTTTTTAAATTGGAACTAAAACGGTATCATTTCTGATTTTCTATTCGGTTTTCGAGTAAAACACTTGATGATTCACTCGAATACATTTAGTAGCTGATACAATTTCAACGATTTTGGAGGCTAAGTAGTGTCTTGTGTCTTTTTAGATGAAGCAAAAGCGATTGATTCTGTGTGGCCTAAAGAACTTCTATTCAACTAAAAAGCGAATTTCCAGCTCTATATTACAGATTCATAGTAATTGAATGAGATTATTCTAAAAAAAATTAAAGCAATATTTAAGTTATAAGTAATAAAACTATACATTTTAAATTTAATATATTAGAGATATAATTTAAAAATAATTTTTGTCAATGTTTTTCTATGTAAATAACATATTTTGTATAAATTGAAGCATTATTAATATTATCAACGCAACTTTTATTTCACAGTGAAAAAATTTTATATTTCAAAATGTTTACTAATTATTTATTTTCATTTGGTTTGATATGCACTATTCTCAATTTTAACTTTGTAAATTCCAAAGATCAAGTTTCTAAGTTGAACTTATTTTTAAAAAACCCTTATTGGACAAAATTAAGAAAAAGTTTGCATATTATTGATGAAAATCATGGAGAAATCGCCATGGACCAATTGATTAAAGGAATTACTAGAAGTGATTTTGTTACATCTGAAAATCTAAACGATAAAGCAAGACAATTTTATTTGTTGTTAAGCTGCAATCTTTTTAAAGTATTAGGAGAATATACTGACTACGTAAAAATAATATGGACAGAATGTAAAAGACATCCCGACCAAAAAGAAGGTTTTAAGCATTATATAATGAGAGAATTTACTGCTTTCACAAATTTCNTTTATTATGACAGAATTTACTGCTTTTACAAATTTCATTGCAGATTGGCCGGCTGCATTTTCTTCTTTTTCAAATTACACTGATATGGAACTTAAAAATAACATTAATTCTTATGTAAGCATAGTGTATTATTTAGCTTCATTAAACAAACATAGTGATAAAGATTTAGATGAAAAAATCGATAAATTAGATAATAATGTTCGAGATTTTATGAATGGTAACTGTAGACCAAAACAGCTAACACTTTCGATGATAACCAAACACTACAACAGACAATTTGGAAATAGATCTTACGGTGAAATAGTTTGGAAAGTCAAACCATATCTTGATCAAATAAAAATATTAGTTATGTCTTTTTTGTTGAAATTTGATTTCCTACATACTAAAAAGTGTATATTAAAGTCAAGTTTTAATTATAAAGTTTGTGAATTAGAAATCTTTTTAAAAAACTCATATTGGAATGAATTTAGAGACGGTTTACATATTTATGACGGAAATAATGGAGAAATTACCATGGACCAATTGTTTGATGGATTTGGAACAAAAGATTTTGTTACATCTGAGAATAAGAACGATAAAGCCAGACAGTTTTATTTGTTATTGAGCTGTAATCTCTCAAAGAAATTAGAAAGATATGCAGATTTTGTAAGAATATTATGGGGAGAATGTAAAAAAAAATATACAGAAGAAAAAAGAAATTGTAAAAAACAACTAATAATGGAATTTGCTTCTTTCACAAATTTCATTGAAGATTGGCCGGCTGCATTTTCTTCTTTTTCAAATTACACTGATATGGAACTTAAAAATAACATTAATTCTTATGTAAGCATAGTATATTATTTAGTTTCATCAAACAACCATAGTGACATTGATATAGATGAAAAAATTGATAAATTAGATAATAATGTTCGAGATTTTATGAATGGTAACTGTAGACCAAAACAGCTAACACTTTCGATGATAACCAAACACTACAACAGACAATTTGGAAATAGATCTTACGGTGAAATAGTTTGGAAAGTCAAACCATATCTTGATCAAATAAAAATATTAGTTATGTCTTTTTTGTTGAAATTTGATTTCCTACATACTAAA